GCTTGCTCCCTCCGCTCCGCGCATCGTGCCGGTATTGCAGTGCCTCCGGGAACGGTGCACCCCTCGGGGACCTGTGCCGGTGAACAGCAGATGAGATGATCACAACCGCGGCTCTGTGGCGGCAGCAGTCCCGGCGCCTCCGGGAGCGGCGCGCCCGCCCGGTTCTGTTGTTGTAGATCAATACATCCAGAACGCTCTGAGGGCTCGTGCCGGTTCTCCGGCCCCGGTTCGGTACCGGATCCGCCCCGCGGGAGCCCCGGGGCTCCGCTCCGCCCGTCCCGCCGCGAAATGGCGGCGCCTGCCCCTTCCTGAGGTTCAACTCCATCATTTCGGCGCTTTCCGGGTGAAAGCGGGGCTTGACGAGAATGATAATAAATGTTAACGATGCTTAAAGAACGTACAAGGCGGTTTGAAGGGTTTTATTAAATGAATCAGTGAATTCACAACAGCGATAACGGGCGGGGGGGGGCACACGTTTCCTGTGGGAAACGCCTCCCACTCTCCGCCTCCGCGCTTCTTCCTCGCCGGGTTTCGTTTTGAAACGAAATAAATCTCGTTTATTTTCTGTATTTTAGGCGTTTTTAACCATTTTCCCGCGCCGGCGGCCCCGCTCGTCCCGCTTCACGCAGCAAAACAAAATGGCGGCGGGCGGGCGGGCGGGAAACTGCGCGTCAGGCGAGCGCCCCCCCCCCGCCAATCTTCACCCTCAGCCGCCAATCGGAGCGCGGCTTTTTCGCCGTCGCTGGGCAGAACAGAGCGGCCGCGGCCAATTAGAAAATCCGAGCGGCGTGGCGCGGCCGCTCGGAGGGAAGGGAGGGGAAGAGGCGCAAGAAGGGAAGAGGGGAAGAGGCGCCGCCGCCACATCGGGAGCGAGCGTTGCGCACGTAGGTGGGGCCGAGGGGGAAAGGGAGGGGAGAGCGGCGCGCGGCACGGCGCCTGCGCGCGGCGCGCGCCGCCCTTCCCGCGCACGCGCCGCGCCTGCGCCGTGAGGCGGCGCGGGAGGGGCCGGGCGGCGGCGCAGGCGCGGCTGAGGCGGCGGCGGCGGCGGCGGCGGCGGGAGCGGGACGGGCCCGGCGATCGCTCCGCGCTCCGGCCGCCCCCTGCCCTCCCTGCGGCGCTCCCGCGCGGCGCTCCCGCCTCGCGCTCTCGCTCGCTTCTCCCCCCCCCGCTCCCCGTCCCTTCTCCGCCCCCTTCCTTCCGCCCCTGCCCTCCCCTCAGTCTCCGCCCCGCGGCCGCCTCAGGCCCGGCCCGGCCTCGCGCTCCGGCCTCGCCGCCGCCGCCGCCTCGGCGCGCCCGCGCTCCTTGCGCTTCCCTTCCCCTCCGTGCCCTCGCCCCCCGGCCCGTTCCCCGCGCGGCGGCCCCGCCATGGACGTGAAGCGGCTGAAGGTGACCGAGCTGCGGGCCGAGCTGGGCCGGCGCGGCCTGGACGCGCGCGGGCTGAAGGTGGAGCTGGCGCAGCGGCTGCAGGAGGCGCTGGACGCGGAGATGTTGGCGGCGGGGCCCGAGGAGGGCGGCGGCGGCGGCGGAGGAGGAGGAGGAGGCGGCGGAGGAGCAGCGGCCGCCTCGAGCGGCGCCGCGGGGGAAGCGGGGCCGGCCGGAGGCCCCGGCGGGCGGCCCCGCGGAGAGGAGGAGGAGGAGGAGGAGGAGGAAGAGGAGGAGGAGGAGGAGGAGGAGGAGGATGAAGAAGCGCTGCTCGCCGATGAGGACGAGGCGGCCGCCGCCGCCAGCGCGGCCCCCGAAGCGGCGGCCCCGGCCCCGGCCGGCCCCCCCCGGGAGGAGGAGGAGGAGGAGGAGGAGGAGGAGGAAGAGGCGGCCCCGGCCGAGCCCGCGGGGCCGGAGCCGGAGGAGCCGCAGGAGCAGCAGGAGCAGCAGGGGCAGCAGGAGGCGGCGGCCGAGGCGGGAGCAGCAGCAGCAGCAGCAGGAGCAGCAGGAGGAGCAGGAGGAGGAAGCGGCGGCGTGAACGGCGCCGAGCGGCCGCCCGAGGAGGCGCCCAGCGGGGATGAAGCGGCCCCGGCCGAGGCCAAGGAGGAGGAGGCGGCGGCGGGTGAGCGGCGGGGACGGGAAGGGAGCCCCGGGAACGGGAGAGGAACAACGGGAACGGGAACGGGAGAGGAACAACGGGAACGGGAGCCCGGGAATGGGAACGGGATCCTCGGGAGCGATCCCCGGGAACGGGAGAGGAACAACGGGAACGGGAACGGGAGCCTTGGGAGCGATCCCCG